ATTTTCAATTCATCGACAATGAAATCGGTTATATTCTTAATAAAAAATGCAAAAAAATACAAGTGGATTTTTTAAGCATATTTCATTAGATATATTTTTCAGTATAGCATTATAAATGCGTAATTGATCAGATATAATAAAATCGCTAATTATCGAGGCTCAGCTTAACTATCGCCATAAAAGTGTATAATTGGATAATTAACAATTGAATTATAGCATTTCAGAAGTAATGTATTCGCATGAAAATTTTATTACTTATTTTCTTTTAACTTAATTGATACAGGTACTTTCCCCAGTCATTTCTTTTGTTCACATAAATTTGATGTTATTGATTTGCTTTGCTTACTTTGAAAGAGTGAAAAATTCTAAGACCAAATGTTTCAACCTTATAATTTCATGTAGAGGAATAGCATTATTCAATAAAAACAACAATCGCAAATTTGCTGCAGACATGTATCATGCATGAGTAAGCATTGCTTTGCATTAGAATCGTATAATTTCGCATCATTTATTATCCACACGGAATATCTAGCCAACCAAATTGTGGCGTATATTTCTTCTATGATATAATTAATAATATCACAATGACTATTTTAGTTTATCTAAATATTATTTAAAAAACGGTTCATAGATTAGAATTTAATGCGAATGAAAATACCTGTTGAAACTTACCTAAGTTAGTCAAAATAAAGAAAAAAATATTAATATGAAACGTGGAAAAAATATTAATATGAAAACAAAGCCTCACTTTTTTTGTCTGTTTAAATATAAGTGCTAACTGATATTTTTGTGTACTGTCACTGTGTTAAAATGCCTTTGATGGTGACAATTTGATGATCCACAGCAGTGTCATAAAATCATCAGTGCACACTATGGCTTTCTAAAATTGTCATTAGTTTAAAGCTACATTACCCGTACAAATATATCATTCTTTAGAGCTTAAAGGGGTCATTAAACCTTAATGGACTTTTGTGCAACTGACTGTATGACGACTGACGGCAGTATTTAGTCTTCACGACCGAATGCCTTGTATATTTTGCCATCTGTTAAGACCCTGTGTTTTGCCCGTTTTTTGATAACGCAGGGGAAATACATTTTAAGCCTTAAATCGGGACTATTTGACCCGTCCTGAAGCTGTTCTATCTTAACTCGAGTCTGCCTTATCGTGGTACCTTTATTTAACTATAGGAAATGCCTTACTGCATCCCGGTTGACGAAGAAAAAAATGGAGGAGTATATACTAGAACCCATCGATATCACTCTATAGAGGTTATACATGAAAATAATCCTAGGACCTCTTAACCTTCGTTGCTTCAGATTGGCTTAACATAAAGCCATGTATGTGATGTTATTCAATGTTTATTGTTATTACGTAATTGTTTTAAAATCCGTTTAATCGAACGGTAAAGATAAAATCGATAAAGGTATTCGATATAAATAAAAAATGACGCAAACCTCTGTCTAATCCAGAAGTGTCTGACTTGGATAAATAATGTCATCTGAATCTCTTTTCAGAGCTATAAATAAAAGGTATGTTGGTTCGCAAAATACCTATGATATTTTCTATTATAATTACGAATCCGTTGTACATAATAATACCAAGTGCTTTAGCTTCATAACTTATTATATAAGCAGTGTATTTAATATTTATATTGGTAGACTTAATGCCAAAGAGTACCAGTACCAGTTAACCAGTAACGGTCGTACAGAACTTTTAAGGCGGCGGTACTCTTAAAGTTAGATATACATACATGCGTTATTTTACTATAGAAACATTATATAATAACATTATAAATACTAACAATCATATAAATATAGCATATAAGTACGAGTAGTGTCAGATATCAGATCAAGGCATTATTACATTGATGATAGATTACACAAGTTATAGTTGCTATCTGCTGTCTTGAATGCAAATTTGTTTGGAGCTCTTCGGACATTCAAAGACAGTGCGTAACAGAGTGTGAATATTTATAAATAGAATATATTGTTAGATCTATCAGATTAATAGGCTAGCACTAATTCGAGCCAAAGCTTATTGTGTACAAGCTCAGTGCCCGATTATACAGCTATTAATCAAGCTACCGGTTATAGTGCTAGTTTAACGCACGATGAAGCAACTGAAGGTACAAGCACAACGTGCTCGCTTCGATAACATCATGTAAGGCATTGCATACAGTTAGCAAAGAAAACGAGGCTTCATTCAATGCTGATTACAGCAAGATTTTATTTTAATTGTCATTACAATTAATTAATTGCGTGTTGTTAAAAACGTTAGTAGAGCGTGTTACACTTTTAACGCAAGCTCGTGAAAAAAGTTTTTACGTACTTTTTAAAATATTTTCTATTAAACCATATTATTCAACAACTGCATTTTGATGGGTCATTAAAAAAATAAGAATAGATCATGTAGTAGTTTTGTCTTAGATGGCATAAAATTAGTAATTTATTTATAAGTTTTTACGTACTTTTTAAAATATTTTCTATAAAACCATATTTATTTGACAACTGCATTTTGATGGTTCATTAAAAAAATAAGAATAGATCATGTAGTAGTTTTGTCTTAGATGGCATAAAATAAGTAATTTACTTATAACTAGGTCAGGGGCTAACGGATCGTTTAAACAACGAGTTAACTCAGCTGTTTGTAAAACTAATGATGCTTATGATTACTTTTGCATTTAAATATGTTTCAATCGATGGTACAATCTAGTAGTATCAGTACGTTATGGTTTAAATTTTAATTATAACAAATTATAAAAAAAAAACTTTTTCCAAAACGCTTAACAAAAAAGTAAAATTGCCCGAATTCCATTTTGAAAACTCGTCGAAAGATTAATCAATTGGTGATTTAAGCATCAACGATTTTAACCAAAACTTATGATATTGAAATAGTTTTAATGTCACTTATAGTGCTTATGACGTGGCGGAATTCCATTCTTGGATTCATTTGTTGGATTCTCCCTAGATGTTTCCTAATATTGTTTAATATGACTATACGTTGTCAAAGAATGTGTAATAAAACTATTGTATGTATGAGAAAAATCTAATATTCGAAATCAAAGATAGTTGGTATATTTGTTACGTTGAACGGAATTATTTAAATATTTCCCAACTTTTATTATAAAAGATTATATATACTTTGTTATATACAACTACTTAAAAAAATAAAATTTTATTCACTCAAATATAATGTCAGTATAATTGTTACATCGGTTTTACACTCAAAAATAATTTTGTTGAGCGTTGAAGTTGAATTTGACAGCGAAAAAAAAATATTTCGCACAACTTTTATTTATTTATATGACTTTATTATTATTTTGAATGAAATAAATCATCATAGTTAAAATATATTTCTGTAATTATAGTGACGTTTATTATGTGCTTGTAATATGGTATTATGCATGAAAAATCCCTTAATAATAAGTATATCTAATTGTATCTACATCGCTCTTTGTTATATTGCTGTCCTTGCCGGCGATAAATCAGTGGCATCCCTAATTTGTAACAGTACGCTTTCAGGGCGAGTCCCGAGGTCGTTGCTCCCGTGCCGCGAGCCATCCCTCGGTAGGGTAGCCACATTATTTAAAATTGAGAAATCCTGTCATATATCTAATAAAAAAGTAATTTTGTAAACAAATAGTATATGGTGCAAGTTTGTTTATTTATTGGAATTGGATCAGGCGAGCTTCTTGCGATCCCCCACCGAGAGTATTGTTCGTGAGTGAGGTTTTTCCAGGTAGACCAGTCACGCTTCAACCTGTTCTTCCTAGGGCAGGGTGGCTGTAGAACCCTGGTTTAAGGCTGAATGTGCATTTCCCCTGCGTTACCAACTAAAAAAGTTTGTTTATTTAACACGATGACCACTTAAAGGTGGTTTTGGTGATGGAAAATTAATAGAAAATTAAAATGAATACATGTATTTTATAATGTAAATTATGACTTTTTCAAAATCTGTTAAAATGTATAGTGATACTGTGTAGGTATATAAGCTATAGGTATGTCAGTTAATTCCAGAATTCTCGAATCAATGGTAAATGTACTGTCCCTCGGCGATAGCATCGCAAGCTTTGAACGATAATAATCGCAAGGGCAGACCTAACGGAACTTTTAATGCGAGGGTACGTTCTCAGAGCCTATTAGGAGATACCGATTGCGTTCTTCACCGTTCGATTTTGGGTGGACGCCATTTTTTCGAGGTTTCGGTCGTTACTGGAATACCTAATATCACTTATGCTAATGTGTATTGATATCTGTCTGATATACAATTAAGGACGTTTTTAGCATGGCGCTGATTTGCACACGGATTGTTTGCGTATAAACTACAAAATTGGTTGCAGACCAATCCCTAGAGAGGTTTTAGATAAGAATAACAGTTAAACATCCTTTAAGGAATATTTTAAACTAATGATATTTGATCAATTATGCATTCACAATGCTATACTAAAAAATATTCTTAATGAAAAATTAATTTAAGCATTATTCATTAAGAATATTATATAGTTTTAAAGATCAATTACCTTAATTGTTTCATGAAATCGATGTTTTCTATAATTGTGATAAATACTTTTTTATAATATCCACCTTCACGGTATATGAATGAGAAGTGTGAACTCAGTCCGTAAATGATCATTCAACCGCTATTTTTTTTTAATTATATTTTCTTAAACATAACAGCTACATGTGTTATAATATTGAATCCAATTCGCTTCTGTGATCTATACTATTAGTTATTATAATGGCTTACAATTATAAATGCATAGTGAAGTGTATTTTTCAATAATTTATGTTTGCAGAAAATCTATATGCAAAAGCGTCATCCAGTTGATTGTTTATATTCGCGTGGGTAAATATTTTATGGCGGCGTTATTTCACTTATTTATTCACTGTCAAAATGTACTCTCTCGGTTATAGAATATAAATTAATTAGATAGATTATCCTGCTATTGAAATTATTACTTATAAATGGTAGTTTTAAAGTCCTTTATTGTTTGTTACAGGGCGGTAACAGATCCTCGCGATGGCCGGCGCGTCGCCCTGAAGAAGCTGCCAAACGTTTTCCAGTCCCTCGTCTCATCCAAACGCGTCTTCCGGGAGCTCAAGATGCTTTGCTTCTTCAAACACGAAAACGTGAGTTGATCACTTTTAATGCTACCTATCTTAAAACTCTCTACAGTTCAATTTAGATTGTTGAAATTGTATTTCTATAGAAAAATAAGTTTATAATTTTTTATGTAAGGAAGTATAATTGTGTCAATTTTTATCATTCGAATAACGAAAGTATGATGTAATCATCGGGTTAACATGTCATCCGAAGCACAGAGGAGCTCGAGTTAGTAAATTTTTGGTCACCCATCCTAAGACCGGCATTTGCGAAATTTGTTTGACATCGTACTTCCACCGCCAATCATTACATCGGTGTAAAAATCATCCAACCAATACCTACATACAGCACACGAATCCTTTTCACCACACCACACCACCAGCCCTTTTACGTCCCGACTGCAGGGGCTCAGGCCTTCCTTATGGATGGTTAAGGAGGATGGGCCATGACCCTCCACGCTGGCCCAATGCGGATTGGAGGATATTAACGACTGCAAATGCAGCCGGGACCAACGGCTTAACGTGCCTTCCGAAGCACGGAGTAGCTCGAGATAATAATTTTTTGGTCACCCATCCCGTGACCGACCCTTGCGAAAGTTGCTTAACGACAACGATCGAGGGCCGCGGCGCTTATCCACTACGCCACCGAGCTACTACTACGAATCCTTTTAAGTTGTATTAATTAGTAATTACAGCTCATGAAATATCGATGAGGGAGCCATCGTTATGATAATGCGGCAGCAACGGACGTTATCACGATATAATTATAATGCGGCGTGTGCGCTCGTCATAATTTATTCATTTTCACGTGTTTTATCGATCAGCGGCGCATTGTTATCGGTTTGTGTGCTCCTGTCGCCTTCTATAAACACAGCATTTGCATCCAAACAGCTAAATTGGATAGTATTGTTTGTTATACAGGTTATATATCGCACTTTTGTTGAACAAATAAGGTGTCAATCTAACGTCCACGCAGAGGTGGACCGCAGCGTTTTGTGTTTAGTTTTAGTCAAATCCTCAGTATAAATATGTCACGTTAGAAATGCAAAATAAATGTATATACACGTAATGTGCTTTAAATAAGTTTAAATTGTAATACAGGAAAAAAATATTGTCAGTGTCTAATTTCTCATTAATAATAATAGAACAGAACGTACTTACTAAGAAAAAGTTAATTTTATTTTTTATTTCATATTAAAATAGTTACATTGATAGTTATATTTTTATTAGTATATTGGCAACAATAATGGGCATATTGACAAAATCGGTCATTGACCGCTAGGTACAGTAGGTATATCATAAGTAACAACATAGACATATTAAAACCGCCCTTTATAAAGAGAAAAAAAAGGTCTTAGAAAGTTTACCCGGATTCGATTCAACTGAACTCTTTACTAACTATGGATGTCGTCTAGCTAATATATACCGCTTTAAAATTAAAATACCGATAAATGCCCGTGTAATAACACCACTATTCAAAAACTTTAAAATTGCCCCAAATTCAATCATGCCCGCTTTAAATATTTACAAAACTTTAGTTACACATATAATTAAACATTCATAATTTAAACCCGTATGATTTCCAAACAGAAATAAACAAAGAAAACACCACAACATCATACATAAAATACATTCGTCACATAATAAACAACATAAAGGAATTTAATAAAAAACATAATCTAAACCATTAAGTAATATTAATTAAAATCAAACATTTAAGCTGCTCGTGTATCATTAGCGAGAGTTTTATCTTATCTCAAAACATCGTAAATAAACAGGCATATTTTTCTTTTTTACCCCGATTTTAGCATGACAAAAAATATGGATATAATTTTCCGTAACTACAGATTTTTCGTGTATATCACTCGTAATATTAAAATTAAATATGAGGTCCTAATGATAATAATTATTAACACGTAATTATGTTTCCAGGTATTATCTGCGTTGGATATATTGCAGCCGCCTAGCCTCGACTTTTTCCAGGAAATGTATCCTTTTTATCAATCACATTAACCATTAGTTAATGATATGTGGCAACGTAAAGGATGTATGGTAAGCGTGTGTTACTGGCCCGTGAAGAACGATGACCTCTCCCTGCGGAGACCGCCACTCAATATGGAAGGGAACGCTAGCTTCCTTAGCATCTTAGCGAAGTTGCCATTGGCAAGTTTCTACGCTTAACTAATTGCATTGCTGCTTTCAGCGCCGGGAAGTTCGGCATCCGGGACAATCTTCACTCCCGTCTATAGACGGTATAGTAAACGGTTTTACGTTGAAACAAAGCACATGTACGCGTAGCATGGCAGTAATGAATCATTACTCACTCGAGAAACGCTTTGTCTACACTAAATGTCACTTTTCTTAGGCCAGGACTGTGTATTACGCATGTAGCGCTGTAGTTTCTAAACACATGATACAAAGAATTTATCTATCTATCTAAGCAGTAGGTAGTTTATTAAATATTCAGGAAAAATAATGTAAAAAAATAACCCAGAAACTATTAATGATTTTTGTTCGTTAAAAATTTTTCTGAGATACAATTGTCGCTTACCAGACGGTCGTAGCAATAAAGTATATAGGTATTGTTGTTGCAATCGATGTTCCCTTTAATCTCCAAAATAGTTTCATCTTTTTAGACATGCTAATATTACAATATGTTTTTTTCCATTTAATGAGTTTTCGGGTCTCAACTGTTTATTTTTAATATCGACACTGCCATAATTGCATTTCCTCGCACCGTAATGATCTATAACGTTGAAAGTTGATAATTTATTTGTTTGCAGTAGATATTTTATGGCCGTTAGTTGATATTGACGTCGTAGATTTCGTTCCTGGCGCGTATTATCTGAACCTGACTTGTGTCGTTATATTTTAAGAGACCGTTGGCAGGTTTTATGATGCTTATTCAAGATTTTTTATATTCAAAATTTTATATTAGAGTGATCATATATTACGTTGAACTTGAAACATTTTTGAATGATATTGCATTTGCACGCAAAACGTTATAATCATAATAATTTATTGAACTTGATTCGCTTAGTAAATTTTAAATTGCTCGGTTAAAGTTATTAGTAGGTTAGAAATATTATCCTACCTATTTAGAACTGGTATTTTGAAACTATACATATATTAGCATTTTGTGAAAAGCATGAATTTGTATTTAAGTAAATAACTGTATTGATTTTAAAAAATACTTCTATCATTTTCAGAAGTATTTTGAAATTCATTTACAACTAATATTATCTTCTACGTTTAACATTATCATAATATATAAAATCGTGTCAAAATATAGGTAATACGAGTCTTTAGTTAATAGGAAATAGAAATAAGAACCAGGGGTAATATTCAGGAATAATTATTCGATAATGAAAGTTCTTTCACCTACCGGAAGCTACATCATACGTGGGTGTTGTGAGCGATAATATACGCGGATGAAGTCGCGGGAAAAGTGATAAATAAATAGTTTAAAAATTAGAAGGGAATAGATGACACACACACCCTATTAGAATCATAACCATACTTTTTACTCCTCCGTAGCCGGATAATAAAAATGACTACACCTAGAGTGCATTTGGTATTTCACTTTTATAAAACTCTGTACGGTCACGCCTGAGCGGAGTTTCGATTATCGCCACTTTTCCAGACCCTTAGGAATATTGCGATAAACTAACGCAGTATAGATTTAAAACCGTTGCTCACGCTCGCTCGCTCGCCGTCGAAGATGGAAATTCTCGCGGACATCGATGAAATACGTTTAAAGTTGGAAAGGTTGCTCCTTGTGCATTTTTTTCTTGCGTCTTTGTTTTTTTTATTGTAAAAAAAAGGATGTGCAAATTATTGTCGAGAAATTAAAGTAAAATTAAAAGCGACGTGAAATCAAACACTTATCTAAGTGAGACTGTATACCTAACTTTGTATACGTTTACATTTTCAGGCTTAATTATATTTTAGTTAATTAAATAGTTACCATAACAACTGAGAACAAATTATTGAAAAATAAAAAGAACTAGAGATCGATTTGGACCTTACTCGCAAAAAAAGATGAGGGTTAAAGTAACATATATGATATTTATAATTAATAATCAGTAACGTATAGCCAGGCATTGTTTCATATCTTTATTTTAATGATGTATTTCATATGAATTTGAAAATGTAGTTTTATATTATATACGAAGGAGACAACGATTACTTTAAATACTAAAAAGGAAATAATTTACTCCCAAATACATGAGTAATATCCTGTAACAGTTGTTTATGTTAACATGAGCTTTTATCCTCGACTTTATTAACTTTGATTCTCTATATCATTTAAATTTGAAAAAAAACTAGCCCATGTATTTTTTTAGGTATTAAACTATGTCTATATTTGCGATATAGCCATGGAAGCGTGACAGACGAGATTAAATTACTTTCGTTCTACATTTAAAATACTTATATTTACGAATAATAACCGGTTAAAACTAGAAGGTGTCAGTAACAACAGTTTCACATTAAGCGGGTAACGTGTAACTCTCATCCTTCATTCACAAACTGGATAGCTTTAGGCTAGTCCATAGGAGCCGGCTCAATTTCGCACTGTAGCCGTCACAACTGACATTTGTAGAAGGCTCAATATCCATTAAACTTTTAAAAGTAACCCAATCTAACCAACTCTAAGGCTCGTCCGTTTAATATTCCAGAGGCCAGACAGTATTCATTATTCATCATGACACATTACGATTTGATAAAAATAATTCGACAGCTCAAATTTCTAACGTCAGTTTTCACAGCTCTGGTTACGTCCCATTATAATTTTATCTCTCGCCCAGACGTAATGTTGTATACTTTATGTCAGTTTTATGTTTCAATGTTTATGTCACCGTATTCTAGTGTGCCCTTGGCGAAGTTATTATCGCTAGTTAGTTCCTATATATGTACGTAATGTTGAAATTTTGGAAGATATTATTACGCACAATGAGATTCTTTGTTTATCAGTTTTAACTAGAAATATGGAACTAATTTTTCCACAAAATTTCTTTTTAAAATTCAGGTGTGTTTATACTTATTTGTTTTGTTTGCAATCGATTTGCATTTGCTTCAAGCGCCATTTACTGAGAGTCAAATGGAATAGTAGATAGAGCGTTCGATATGAAGTGTGAAGTGTTATCATGTCTAGTTTCTAAATGTCCCCATTGCTGGGGCATAGGTCTTCACTGTAGATGGATTTCGATTTCAGGTCATGGCCCACTGCCCATAGGTCAACCAAGACCTAGAGCTTAGTGGAAATTAATAGATGTTATCGACCACATTTGTAATCGAGACCATCAGCTTAACTTGTATCGGAAGGCACGGAGGAGCTTGAGATACTATGTTTTGGTTACCCATCCTATGACTGATTGCAGACCGAACCTGATACCCACTCCGCCGTCGAGCACCTGTTAAGTGTATGTTTTTGTAACCGGTACTAAATTTATCCTCGCTAATGAGTTTGAATTATTAACTCCGGATTTCTTACCTGAACCGTTTTGTTTTTAATGACAGTCATACGTATAATATATGTAGATAATTTTCCAATACTGACATTGTCTAGGCTCGTAGATTGCGCGTCAGCTCAATCTATCGAGGAATCATATTATCTATGGGGTCCACTATTTGCTCCCCTTTGAAATTTATTGAAATAGGATAGTACGTCGTTGTAGTAGAGTAATTCGAAATAGAAACTAACATGTGAACAAAATAATTATTGTCCGGATATTGGAAAAAACATTTATTTTTTACAAAAATAAACCTAATACATAAATGAAAAAATGGAATATCTTATAAAAAGAGCTCGTGGCGCAGTGGTTAACGGGATCGGCCTGCGATACGGTTGTTAAGCAGATTTCGCGAATTCCGCTCATAGGATGGGTGACCAATATTTTTTTTTAAATTTACCGTTTATGTCGATCATCTCCATGTTTCGGATAGTACGTCAAGCTCTTGGTCCAGGTTGTATGTGCGTTAAAATCCACCAATCCGCAAAAGGCCCCGGTGGTGGATCATGGTCCATTTTCCTATTAGATTCCATTCATAGGATAGGCTGAGCCTCAGAAGACACCACATTAATAGGCTGATGATGATGTTGTTGAATTGTAATTTTTCGTCTTTCATATTATGTGCTATACACACTCGAAACTCGTTAAACAAACAGTGGAACTTTTAAAATCCCGCGGAGTTTTTATTTGCCGGGAATCGTATTAAAGTCAAAAATGTTTCTACTTTGACAAGTTAAAATAATGCGTACGTACCCACACAATGTATTATGAAAGTTTGACGAGATCTGTCGTAGATTCATAATGGATTTTGATAATGAAATACGCGATGATATTATAAATGGGACGATGTATTTACTTCCTTCGCGTCTTAATGGAGCATCGTAGTGGTAATATATAAGGAGAATTTGCATCTGTATGATAGTAGGGAGGCTGTAACTTACATTTTGCTGCAAAAAAACAGGTAGTTATTTTGATTGGACCACGGATAACAGCATGTATCTATACTAATATTATAAAGAGGGAAAACTTGATAATTTGTTTGGATGTTTGTTTTTTTTTTTGCATCGATAAGGCTCCGAAACTACTGGACTGACTTTAAAAAATCCTTTCACCTATTTACATTTCACATCATACGGGGTTGAAGTAGGCTATATACAAAAGATTTTAATAATTAACCCCTTAGGGGGTTAAATATGAAAGCTGGTCTAATAATATTTAAAATTCACGTGTCCCAGTTTTAGTTTTAGAACAGCTTAGCCAATTATGATAAAATTTTAGAGTATATTCAGTAGGTCTAAAATAATGTTATCTATTTTTATAGTCCTATTTTAAATGTATACGGCAAAACAAAGTTTGCAGGGTAATAATAATTTTTAATATTATTTATAGCTTTAGTTGCTCGGTGGCGTAATGGATTCGCCGCGGCCCGTGATCGTAGTCGTTAAGCAACTTTCGCAATGGTCGGTCACGGGATG